AATGCAAAGGTGTCAGTAGACAGGTTGTCAGCTGCAAGAGCTGGGGATGGGCGGTTCGAGCTTGGTGAACTGGCCTGGGCAGCTTCTTGGCTCCAGAGATTTTGGTCATGCAGAAATGCAATTTTAAAGTTCTAGGACCTTCTAGTTTGTAAAGAAAAGACAGAAGTGTGTTTGTGTGTATGTGAGTGTGTGTGATTTCCTGATTTTTTAAAAACACCATTATCAAATAAAACACATCTATGGTTCAAGTTTGGCCCATGGGTTACCAGTTTACAAATTTTGATAAAAATCACCTTCTTAAAAATATTTTCTTCTTTCTATTAATGGACTCTTATCAGTGTAAAATCATTTGCATTTTTACAGGCGTGGACATTAATTTTCAACTACTGACTGGGGCAATGGTAAGCAGGCAGGGCAGATATCTCTTTTAGAACCTGTATTTTCTTAACCATCTGAAATTAAACCATATAGCCAGAAGGCACACCTGTGTCCTCACTGTTGTGATTCACTAATTAGCTTAATGATCTTGATTTTTGTTTTGGTTTGGTTTTTTTGATACTGGGAATCGAACTCAGGACCTTGTGCTTGCCAGGTAGGTGCTGTGCTGCTGAGCCATATCCCCGGGCCATAGCTTAATGATTTTGAATAGTACACATTAGTCTATTACTTAGTTTCTGACTTTAGGTGTGTGTTTTTGTATGTATTTTTTGACTTAAGCTGTAATAGTCTCATCAGAAGGAACACATCTGGTGATATTGCTGTTACAGTCACCTCAAAATCTCTGTGACTCAGACAACCAATTTCTTACTTTGTTAGTCCAGCATGGGTAACCAGGGTGACCCTGCTCATCATTGTCACTTAGAAATCCAGGCCAAAAGAAGTGTTCACCAAGTGCTTCTGCCATTACAAAGGTAGGAAAAGAGAATAAGGCAGATTACCTGCTGAATTCTAAAATTCTTGTCCAGAAAATGCATAACTTCTCTTTACACTTGCTGACTTTAGAGGTGACTTAAAGAAATACCTGAAAAATTAACTTTTATATAGAGATGGATAAAATAAGGTTTAAAAAGAACATTTTTTTGGTACCAAGAATCAAACTCAGTACCTTGCGCTTGCCAGACAGGCACTTGTACCACTGAGCTATATCCTCAGCCCAAGAACATGTTTTACCTTATATCAGAAGATACCATAAAAACTCTAAAAACAAATCAGGTATTAGCAAAGAAGTAGAAAAATCAATAGATCAAGTTGTTAAATCCAGAAATGGATCCCAATATATATGAAATTTATAGATGATAATCAAATTCAGTGGGAAGTTTTGTTTTTAAATGGTATAGAAAGTCAAGTTGAAATTACAAAATACAAAAGTGAGGCAAGTATCCTAAAGTAATACAAAAATAATTTCAGGAGGATGAAAAACTTATAAAACTAGAAGAATTAGACTGAGGGGATAGCTCAGTGGTACAGCATGTGCTTAGCACGTAGGAGGCCCTGTGTTCAATGCCCAGCACCAAGAAAGAAAAAATTAGATATTCTTCAGGACAGGGGATGTATGGGGAAATCTCGATAGTTAATACAGTAAATGTAGAAACTATATAAAAGAAAAGATGCACCAGGTGCAGTGACCCAATACTCTGGGAGGTTGAGGCAGGAGGATCACAACTCCAAGTCCTACCTAGGGAACTTAGTGATGCCCTGTGTCAAAATAAGAAATGGCTCAGAATGTATCTCAGTAATAAAGCACCCCTGGATTGAATCCCCGGTGTAGAAAAGTTAATGTCCAGTGAGGTACCTCGGCTCAAGAACTTAATTCATTCTGCCATTCAGGAAAGGTGGCCACTGTTATGTTCATCACCCAAAGCAGTTTGGAAACAAAAACAAAATTTTACCAAATGCTTCTGTTTGCAAACCAAACTGTTTGCAAACAAAAGTGTTCATGCACCAAGGTACCACTGCATACTATAATTTAGCTATGTTATGATATATATTTCAAATAATAAAAAAGAGATTTTTAAATAAACTGTTTTAATGCAAAATAAAAGTACAGAATTAATTTATAACTTCTTCCAACATACAACCCAAAAGAAAAATAGTCAACTTACAGAGGAACAAAACCAGATGATAAAAAGATGTTTAACATTTTACAAAATGACATTTAAACTCACTAGTAGTTAGGAAAATGGAAATTATAGTAGGAATGAAGTTTAAACCTCTCAGTCTGGCAAAAATAAAAGCATACTATTATTCATTTTGGTATGCATGCAGGGGAAATGGGGCCATCACTACTGCTGGTGGAAATGAGAATTGAATATATTTTGGAAAACTACCTAAAATATTTATTAAAATTAAATATTCACACTTCTTCTTTGACTTAGAATCCATATTTTTAGAAATCTACTTATAAAAACAAAGCCCCAGTACACACAGGGACACGTGTCTAATGTTAATCACAATTTTGTCCAATACATCACACCACAGGGAAAGTAGAAAATGAAAAACTATGTGATTTGACTTTCCCTGAGGTATTTCTTAGTGATGATGAAAACCAGGGAGGAAGGTTATATGATATGATTGTGTTTTTATAAAATATGGCTCAAAAGTCCTAAGTCTAGGATTACATACACATGGATAGAATATATATACACAGGTACATGCTAATTTGATAGCATGCATTATGATGGGAATGCAGGCAGCAGGAAAGAAGGTGGGAAGGGAGGAGGGTTAAAAGAAAGTCACAAAAAACCAGTATATATGCTGTAATTCCATTTATTCATCAATGCAAAATGTAATATAGAGTGTATGTATAAGTAACCTCTAAATATAATGAAAATGCAAATTTGAGCATATGAAACAGAGGACACATTCCAAACTAATGCCTCTTGGCTATGGTTTAGGCTTTAGATTGAAAGAGGCCCATCACTTATCCCATCAAACACCAGGGCAGACTTAAGCTTTCACCACCTGCTGGCAGGTGCTTCCCGGAGGGTGGTGTCCACGAGGCAAAGCTTCTCAGCGTTTGTGAGAGGATGCCACTTCAGTCATGTGTCTCTTGGAACTCCAAAGTACATGGATCTGCCATCAAGCAGACCCACTCTATCCCTACTCATCAGGTTCTTGTTGAAGAAAATAACTTCAAACTCCATTTTCCACAAGTGTGGGAGCTCTGTCTGTTGGCTGAGCATCCAAATAGGAGAATAGTTTCAATACGATTGCTGTTTAGAAATAATTCCAATAATGACAGTCTAACCTGGGTTTGCTCCCCTAATTGGAAGGACTGGCAAATCTGTTCTCAAAAAGATTTGTAATGGAAATGAATGTACATTTGGGGCTGGACCTTCTAGAAAAACGAAAACCCTCTTTCACAACAAAGCAGACCCAAAGAAGTTGTTGAACTTGGTTACAATGAGAAAGTTTTCAACGAGTAGTCTCCCTGTAGCGACCAAGGAGCTGCTTTTCTTTAATCATAGACTTCGTCACCTGTGCAAACCGTTCTCATCCTCTAGTCAACCACGTTGTAAGCATGAAGAGGAGCTAATGGATTTTACCTACCAATCACTTAGTCCTTACTACTGACCCAGAGTTCCACAGCCTACCTGTTAGGACGGAGAGAACGTTTGACTGAGTCTGTATTACCAGTCCCGCGGTGCATGCGCAGCGACTGGAGGCAAGTCACTTTCACTATCTAGATCCCAGGGTGCGTATATATTCCCTAACACGTGAACTCAGAAAACTTGTTCTTTTCACTTCAAAATCTGTAACTAGGAGCTTATGTGTATGGTTACTTTTCTAATTACCTATCTTTTCAATAAAAATCTAATCTCTATGTGGACAGAGGCAGTATACTGTAGAACCATCACTTAACATGGGAACTGGACAGACCCACATTCTTTAATGTATATAGTTCTCTAAATGAATGAAGGTTTTGATTTTTTTTTTTTTTTTTGGTAGCAGGGATCGAACTCAGGACCTTGCACTTGCCAGGCAAGTGCTTGTGCCACTGAGCTATATCCCCAGCCCTTGATTTTTAAAATTAGGCCATAGTTCTGTCCCTTTACCCAAATTTATCTAGTAGGTGAAGTGCCTAATTGAGGGCAGCTGTGTTCTAGAGTTATGCTGAAAAGAACCTGGACCTATTACTCATAGTTCCAGAGGTCTGACAAATGTCTTTTCACCTATAGCTTTGCCTCTTAGCAAAGCCATAGTGCATATAAGGTACATATTTGCTGTGTATGCCAAAAGATTTCCTATCTCCTTTTCTATTTTTACCTGGATCTTGAAATCCAGACTGTAATAAAAATATGGAGAGAAAAGGACTTAGAATGGTCTAGTCTTATTTTCACGATAAATCTTATGCAATAGCTGTACTTATTTTCAAGATAAATCTTATATTGAAGCTCAATATTTCTATGTCTGAATTTATAGCTATATAAATATAAATTGCTGTAGATGGAAGAAAGGAATGAATGAATAAATGAAAGAAGGAAAGAAGGAAAAAATAAGGTTTGCGCTGAGCTAAGTGAGGAAGGGAGCTAGAGGCCTCCCTATCAGGCTTTGCGTAAACTCTATGCTGGGCCCAGCTCCCCGATGACCTCTGCCCTGCAGACCCACCATGCCCCCAATGCACCACTGAGACCAGTAGTCTGTAAATGGGTTGAGTGATGATCTCTTTCTAACAAGTAGAGAAACTGGGTCTTAGAAATTGCATCATATTCTTTCATATTCCAAATTCTTTTTAACAAAAGTAAATCTTCTCTTCTTGTTAGTTACTTTCTTGTCAGTAGACTGTCCTATACAGTTATCTCCCAAAATAATCTTATTAAATCAGATTATCTTTGTTCAGAATGTTCTTCTGTTAGTGAAATGACCATAATTTTTTTTTTTTTTTGGCTTTTCTCCGGTACCGGGAACCAAACTCACGACCTTGCGCTTGCCAGGCAGGCGCTTTTGCCGCTGAGCTAAATCCCCAGTCCCCTAAATACCCAGCCCCGAAATGACCATAATTTAATTTTGCTCATATAGTTTTATTTCAACAAAACAATTTCTGAGCATGTAAATATTGCACAACTACTATGCTTCAGTTACAAGAAATGAAGAATTCAATTAAAAATAAAAATCATATTGACCTTTATAATCACATCTCAAATTTCATGTTTGATATCAAGGCACAGAGGTGAATTAAAAGAGGACATCATTACACACTGTCATACGAAACAAAGCTCTCCTCCAAATGCAGAGTGTGTAGATGTGGTTACTTAACAGAAAGCAAAAGCTATGCCTACCGAAGAGCAGACATGCAGTTATTGATCTAGAATTGGCATGATGACAAACCCCTCTACAATTCTTTATCTTCCCAATTAAGGTGTCCTCTTCAACTGATTGAAAGCTGTTTGATAAGTGTACTTTTTTCAAGATGGTGTGCTCAGTTGGGGGTCTTTTTATTAAACTGAAATTTCATCATTAGCTTTGACTAGCACCAGCTGCTGTATAAATTGGGTGTTGATGTAGATCTCCACTGGTATTCCAAATATCGCAGGTGAGTCTCTGACTCCAAAATCCTCAATCATTCAGTATAAATAATTAACATCTGATAAATGCAAAATAGAAAGCACTCTCATTAGAAGACACTGGGGTCATATTCCCACCTTACCCTCTCAGAATACTGTACCAAATAGGACTTTAATTGCAAAAAAAGAAAATGTTTCTAAATCTCTCTGCTTTGTAGTTCTTCTCTGTGCCTGGGGAGAAATGGGAGAGTCAAGAAACTGATAAAATCTTTTAGTCTTACAGGACTAAAGTTAAAGATAGAATCCAAGCACTTGCACATTTTAGTATTTATCTGAAGGTTTTAAATACAGATAACTTCCCAAGCATACGGGGCCTGTACCTTCTGTGATTGTGCTTCCTTCTGAGCAGTTCACATCACTTTTAACATAAAAGAGAAATATTTTGTGCATGTATCTAATATTATTTCTAAGAGATATATAGTAAAAAATATAGTATAAAACAATTCTGGGAAATTGTTGTAGGAAAGTTCCTCATAATGTTGAATTAATAAAAATAAATTCACCTTTGTGTGTATTTGTTAAGTTTCAGGAGATATATTTTAAACCACCTGAAACTATACAATAATGAAATTCCTTAAAATAAAACATGGCCTGATAGTACAGTGATAGAGAGCAGAATGTTCTGGAGATCAATTCCTGAGCCTCAGTTTCTTTATCTGTAAAATGGAGATAGTATCAGGTTAAAGGTTATAGTATCAGGTTGCTGCAAACACACTTACAATGTGTATAGGATATTTAGTATAAGACAGTGTTTTTGTTTTTAATTCATCCATAACAAATTACCACATCCTTAGTGAGTTAAAAAAACAAGCACTTAGGGCCTCACATTTCCTGTAGGTTGGGACATGGCTTAGAAATGTCCCCTGCATCACAAGGGTGCAGTCAAGGTGCTTCCTGGGCTGTGTTCTCACCTGGAGGCTTGACTGGGGGGGGAATCTCTTCCAGGCTCACTCAAGTTCTCAGCAAAACCCATTTCCTGTGGCTGTAAGAACCAGGGATCCAGCCTTCTTTCTGGTTCCTGGCTGAAGTCAGCTGTGTGGGCTTCCACAATGGGGCCATTTACTTCAAGTGAACAAGGGGTCTCTAGGGTGGGTTTGCTAGCAAAGCAGTCTTCTATTATGTAGAACAAACACAGGAAAGTCACCCCATCACTCTTACCATCATCTTATGGGTTAGAAGCAAACCACAAGCTCCTGCCCATACCCAAGGGTGAGCACCAAGAAGCAGGGATCATTGGAGGTCACTGAATGAATAAGCAATATGTGAGTAAAATGATAAATGAATGAGTGAATTTGGAGTTGAACGGTTGTAAACCATAGACCCTTTGAACCACAGAAGACAAAAGCAATAGTTATAACTACAGGATCAACATGTGGACAATAAACTGCCTCACTGAAGTCATAACACAAGTGTGTACCCTTTGTGAAAATAATGTCCTGAAGAGTGAATGGGGTTTGGGCTTTGGGGTTCAGAGAATATCAGAGTAAGTTCTTGGGGGTGGTGGGAAATGGAATGTGAAAGGAAAAATGGGGCTCTTGGTCTCACTTTAAAGTGGTGATTTTCCTACAATTGGAGCAAAATGAGAAATTCAAAGTAAAGCAAAACAGTATGATACAGTTACATAAATTTTTAAATTCTAAGCAATTAAAAATAACTAACAATAAAAATTGTAAAAGTCATGGTATGTGGAAAACAGTTATCTCTAAGGATATGAAAATGTAATCGAATGTGCATATAAACACCATCAATACCCCCAGTGCATAGATGGGCAAAGGAGATGATTATGTGATTCATGCACAGGAAATTCGAATGGAAAAATAAATTTTAAAAGTTTAAATCTAATATAAATAGTACATCAGCCTTAAAAACCAAAATTATAAATAAAAATCCATAATTTTTATTTTACTAGCTGATTGCCTTAAGATGAAAGAGTAAAATACATTTGTTGCATTAGTATTGTTCACCAGACACCTGGTATAACTTGTAATTTACCCTGGGCAGATGGATATTTGATGATAACTAACTCTCAGGTAGCTCACTGTAAGAGAGATAGTACAAATGACTGCAGTCTGAAAATAATCAAAACAACCTCTTTCCAGATCATATTAAGCTATGAAGCTAACATACGGGGGAAAAAATCTGTTAAGAATCTCTCAAATTTACTTCTCCTCTTCCAGTGGCTGAATAGCAATAAAACAAATTAAGATCGGACTTGGGAAGAACAAAAACTAAACAAATGTATGGGATACTCCACAGGAGGAGTTCTGACTTCTCTGTTAGGCTGTGTGGAACAGACTGGATATTCCTTTTTATGTTGATGATAACATGTTCCATATGTTTGTCTACATGAGCTGTCAGAGCTCATCAAAGAGTAAATTAGAGCATGACTTGTGCCGTGGTTGAGAGTGTAAAGGCCAACAATTAAGTGAATAATAGTAAACAGTGTTTGTTATCATTAATGTTACCTTTGTCTTAGCAGGCATAAGGCCTACAAGGATGGGCTTGTTTCTGAATTCTTGCTGGGCTGTTTTTCAGAGCCAAGTAGGGCAGGCACTCATGGGACAGCTGTAGCACAGGGTGACAGGAGGAGACCCAGCTAGAGGAGCGCAGTACCTGGGGATTCCAGTGACAGGCAGACAGCAGATGGTGTCCTGGGGTCTGACACAGCTGTGGGCAGGGCCTGTAGTTTCCAAGCACATCTCCAGGCTGACCAGCTACGATAGCTCCAGTAAGCTCTTCAAACCAGTGTCGCCTATTACCCTTGCTGATTGTACACAGCATTACTCTGGGGCCTGCGGCAGCGCGAAAAAACAGCAAAGTGATGTGGCAAGGGTGAGTCAAGAGGGAAATGGGAAAAAGAAGTTAGACAGGTAAACAGCGGATGGCAACGGTGCCTTTCTGACAGCGTCACTGGTAAACAGCGGATGGTAACGGTGCCTTTCTGACAGCGTCACTGGTTATGCTCTGGAACAGGGGAGGAAATAGATTACAACACAGATCCTCAAGGAGAATGAGCAGCACGGCCCTTAGTGGATCTCACTGTCTCACTGTGTCCTCAGACATGAACTTTAGAACACAGGGATCAAGTCTATGTAGTTCTTTTTGGACCATGCGCAACAAACACTATGAACAATCACAAGGTTAACTTTTAAGATGAAAGAGACAATGTTATTCTCAAAATATAAAAACAGAATAGGATTCATAAAGTCATTCTTTTTTATAATGATATCAACAGGACTTAAAAGGTTAGCACCTTTTTATGAAAAAAGCATATCACTTTTAATTCTTAATGTGAGCAGCTTTCCTATTCATTTAAAGGTGTTTGCCACTGCAATCCCTCTTATAAAATTATATTCTAGTGACAGAATATAATCAGACATGTGAACAAAGACTTATGTGTAAACACGTGAGCACCTACATGTCTAACTGTGGGGAAATGGCCAAGTAAAGCTTGGAACCCCTGAGAGAGGGACTACCTAGCAGTTATCAAAAATCACAGTGAGGGCTGGGGATTTAGCTCAGCGGTACAGTGCCTGCCTGGCAAGTGTGAGGTTGTGAGTTTGATCCCTGGTACTGGAAAAAAAAAAATGCAGTGAATAACTTTAACAGGAAACTGCTTACATTAACATAACAAGTGAAAAAAAAGAGCACACAGTATATTTTCAAATATATTTTTTAAAAGCATAAAAGTAAACTGGTAAGAAATACACCAGGATACCAAAAGCAAATGGTAGAGGGTGTCCTAAATGCTGGCAGAGAAATGGCTTAGAGATGAGCACCAAGGAAACATGATGTCAATGAAACTAAGGGAAATTATTATTTTGTGAGAATACTACTGTGTGCAAGCCCTGGACGCAGTATCTGAACCCATTAATAATGTTTTACGAATGATAGATTATTACTGAAACAAGACTGTGAAAGAAAGTCTCTTTCCGCTATGAGCAGCAACTTCTCATCTTGGCTTAGTGGACACAAAGGCTCAGTAAGATATTTGGGGTGATTGTGTGAGCACAAGAGATGACTCAGGTGGAGTTGGGTGCCTGTCCCTGCTGCTGCATAGCTCCATAGGCCTGAAGATGAGAGTAAGGATTTGTGAAATGGGGCCCACTGTAGGCACTGTGGACTTATTTCAAAAGAGGGAGTGTGCAAGACATCAGGCCAGTCTCTACCAGTTTCTAAACCTAAACGCTCATTGGAGTTGCATGGGTAACTTTTAAAACTATAGGCATTTAGTGAAGAAAGCACACACTCGTGTCAGCTGGTAGATAAGAGCAAAACGGGGCAAAGCGGGGGATGAGCAGTGCCTGGAGAATGGAAGGAGGCCATGTGCACAACAGCAGCTCATAACAAGTGTGGGTCTCCATGTAACGTCGGACTTGTTCCCTCTTTGTTTGCACTTGTGACCTTTACCTTTCTACTGATGCTTCTCAGCAATGTTAAATGTTCTTCATCCCCTTCTTTCCTTCCACCTACTATGCTACCTATCTATCCTCTCTTCTGCCCCCAGTTCTCTGAGTGCCCACACAGGAGTATGCCCTGCCACACTCTCCTCAACCTCTCCCACCTGGCACTATGTTAAAGCTGCTACCCCCAGCATTATCCTCCTTGTGGGTAGAAATGACTGCACACTTTCTACTCTTTGGACTTGTCTTCTGTAGCCTCTAAGATTCAGTTTTAGAGTTTTGAATCAGTTCAGAATATTACAACCATGACAGTGCAGATACTCATGAAAGAGGACTTCCAGAACTGCTTCAAAACATGGCAAGAAGGGGGCTGAGGATATAGCTCAGTGGCATAAGCCCCTGCCTGTCAAGCGCAAGGTTGTGAGTTTGATCCCCAGTACCGCAAAAAAAAAAAAAAAAGGCAAGAAGGAGAGACAAGATGGCAGAGCAGTGAGTGCAAGCCGCTTGGCTTCTGCAGTCTGGAGATCAGTGGCTTGAAGAGAAGCTGCAGTGAGGGGAGAGTACACAGGAACCATGAGGGAGCAGAAAGAGGAGAAGAAAATAGGATTAAGTGATACAGAAGAGGTGGCCCATGCTGCAGAAGAGAAACCATGAGCTAGGAGGCGAAGTGGAACTAATAATGTCTCTGCTCCTGGAGAACTGAACGGGACCAACAGAATCTTATGCAGTTGGACACAGTGGGAAGGACCCAACATGCTGCTTCCCTGGTGGTTCTCCAGAGTTAACACTTGGTGAGTGACTGTGGTACAAGCACCAGAGGACACAGTCCCGTGGAGTAAGAGCTAGCAGTGAGACCATTGTGGGGCAGGGCTGGGTGTTTGAACCTCAGTCCCAGAACAGGTCCTCAGCTGCTACACACTGCCAAGTTCCCAGAGTGGATGAGGGGAGCACAGTCATGGGAGGCTGCTGGAAGTTGGAGAGCAGACCTGGGGAGTCTCGCTGAAAGGCAGGGACTGGTGATCACAGACTTGGTTCCTGCCATCAGATGCCAGTTTCAGCCTGAGTTACACAAGATTGGAGGCTCAATTGGCACCATGTTTCCACTGCTAAAGGGAGACTCAAAACAGGGTCCTAATGCATGTTATTTCCCAACTACCCCAATAGATACCACGAACAGGATTAGACTGTTACCACTGCAGTTGTATTGATTGCATAGGCATAATCCTGACTCAGTGGGTAACTTAGTGCCGGTGATTATGTCTGCTAAACCCACGATCATACCCATCATACCCAGGGAGCGGGACAGTGAGAGATCCTAACCCAAGAATTCAGACTGATCAGACTCTGTAAGAATCCCTGCAACCTGGCAGAAAGAGGTTCTGAGTCTGAATTAACTTCAGTTTTGCAGTGGAGGGATGAGAGGAGTAACGGAGGTGAGAGCGCTCAGCCTCTCGAGGAAAGAGGCTACTTAGGAATCACATATCAGTGTCTCACTGGCATATCTAATCTGTGTTCCCACTGGACATCACATTGGTTTGAATTTTGGTATGTTTCTTGAATTATTTAGTAACATGGGGTTATGCTATGCTCTTTATGGATTCATGTGTATATTAGGTGGTTACCCTTGTGTATTTGTTCTTTTATTGGCTTTGATTTAACAGATGTCTAGGTTCTCTCCCTCATCTCAGCTCTTTGTCTAGTTTCTTCACCTCAAACCCTTGAGACAATAAGATGAACATATATCTTTACTCTTTTCTCAAATACATAAACTCCACTTCCCAAGTTTTTAAATTCACCACACTTAGCTCTCTGACAGTCACTCATATCTTCACTAGTATAATTCCTTAATCCTTCCCATCCTAAAACTTTGGTTCTTCCATATCCTGACTAGCTTATTATTGTCCTCCCTATAAGCATGTTCTGAAACCACATAGCTTTCCTCAGTCACAAAGTGAATGCCCTGTCCCTCATATCTTATCCTTGCCCCTACAAAACATTCGTTGAAAAGTCTGAATACTGGACCTTCAACTGAACTAAAAGTACTGCAATAAAGTCAGATTCCGCATCAATCTTTTCTTCTAGTTTACCGCTAATGTCCCTTTCCAACCTCCCCCTTAGTGCCTAGTACTACTCATTCAAACACCATCCATTCTCCCCAACTCACCTCACCTACCTCACTGCTAAGCAATAACAAATAATAAACAGTCATACTGTGCATAGAGAATAGACAAAGAGGGAAGAGGGTAATTGCAAGGACTATCACATAGAAATGTTGTAAATTTGAATCTGTGGATACTGTTATACGTAGAAGGAATTCTTTCATCAAAATATAGGGGCAGAGTTGAAATCACTTAAAGTAAATAACAGAAGAAGAAAATACTAGCACTGGACATAAAAAACTGAAAATCATTTCATGGGGAGGCAACAACCTACTAAAAATCTCTATATAAGCCACAAATTCTCTTTACTTCACTAGTACTCAATGTGTAGTATCATATATATATATATATATATATATATATATATATACACATAAATCACTACACATATATTATATGCATATGTATAAACACAAACACAGATACAAGTAGGATAATGGAGAAACAAGGAAATAAGAGATCTCTGACTTCCTCAACTCCCACAAGGCAGAGCAAGGGGTCACAAAGGGAGAAGAAAACAAACCAGGTAACAAAAATCTATGAAAAGTTCTTAGAAGGAATAAAGAAAACAGATGAGTTCAAAGAGAAAATGAACCAAAAGTATACAGCAGTTACACTCAATATGTCCATGGTGAATTTCAAGGAAATAGGTAAAAAATTGTACAAACTAACAAAAACTGTTCAAAATTTGAAGGACAGATTCAGTAAGGATGTGGAATTCTTCAAAAGGTATCAGACAAAAATACCTGAAATAAAGAACTGTATAGAATTCATACATTGTAGTAATGACCAATGTGAAGACAGAATGTCTGATATTGAGTACAAAATAATGAATCACAATAAAGAGCTCAAAGAAGCTAAAAATAAAATGAGAACAACTGAAGACTATCCAGCAGTTAGTTACTAAATGACAATAAGAAGACTAATCTGAGTCTACTAAGAAAGAAAATCTAGAATAGCACAGATGAACTCAGTAACATCCTTACAGAAATTATGAAAGAATATTTCCCAAATATAAGAAAAGAGTTTAAAATACAAGTAAGTAATTTTTACAGAGCACTGAACAATTATGGTGAAAGGAGAAATTAACCAAGGTGTAGCCTCATTAAATTCACAGGTACCTAGCAAAAAAAGAAAAAAACCCAAAATTGAAAAGGCAATCAGAGAAAAATTAAAAATCACATATAAAGATAAACCAATTAGAATCACAGCAGACTTCTCTGTACAAACTCTGAAGGCCTAAAGAGCTTGGAGTGAAGGATTTCAAGACCTAGTGGCAAATAACTTCCAACCAAAATTAACTTGCTCAGCAAAGGTATTCTTCAAAATAGATGGAGAAATAAGCCACTTCCATGAGAAAGGCCAACTCAGAAGATATGTGAGTGCTAAACTAGTTCTAGTGAAAACATTCAATAATATTTTCAACAGACACAACAAATTGGACACAGCTAAAAGTACAGAGGAAACTACTGAGGTAAATGGATAAGCAGCAACAAAAAGAAATCAGGAAAAGAAAAATAATACACCAACAAATAAAGAAGGCAATGATAGTAAATAACCAACATATCTAGGTTATATCTCTCAATTTAACAGCTTCAACTTCCCAATCAAAAGGCACACACTGGAAGAATGTATAAAAAAACAGAATCCAACAGTCTGTTGCATTCAAGAAACTCATCTAATCCAAAAAGATATTTATAGACTAAAAATTAAAAGATAGAAAGCATTTCACTCACCAGAATTCCCAAAACTAGCAGGGAAGTAATTCTAATATCAGACATAATAAACTTCAAGTTAATACTTAGAATAGACAAAGAAGTTCACTTTAACTTACTAGTTAAAGGAACAAGTCAACAAGAAGAGATAACATTAATGAATATATGCACTGAATACTAGAGCACCTGGCTTCATAAAATAAAAACTGCTGAAATTAAAAGATCAAGTAAATACTAACACAATCATAGTAGGGGATTTTAACACTCCACTTTCACAAGTAACACATCAACTAAGCAAAAAACCAATAAAGAAACTTCAGAAATGAATCACACCCTCAAATAATATGGACTTAATGGATATATACAGAATATTCCACCCTTGTACAACAGAATACACATTCTTTTCAGCAGCACGTAGTACTTTTTCAAAAATAGATCACATACTCTTACAAAGGCCTGCTTAAGCATATATAAATGAATCTAAATCATCCCATGTACACTATCAGACCACTGTTCAATGAAAATAGAAATCAGTGACAGAAAAAATTTGGAGAAGGCAAAAGCTCCTGGAACAGGACCAATGGGTCACAGAAGAAATTTTAAAATTTCTGGAAGTTAACGACAATGATAGTACAACTTGTCAAAACCTCTGGGACACTATGAAAGCAGTTCTAAGAGAAAAAATAATCACAATTAGTGGTCACGTTAGGGAAACAGAGACAGCCCAAGTAAACAACCTTATGCAAAATCTTAAGACACTTGAGAAACAACAACAAACTGCCCCAAACCAAAATTAAGGAGAGAAATTATAAAGATGAGAGCAAAAATCAATGAAATTGAGACTAAAATTTTGTTTAAAAAAATCAGTGAATCAAAGAGCTGTTCTTCAAACAAGTAAATAAAATAGATAAGTCCTTAGCAAGACTCACCAAGAGAGGAAAGACTCACACCAATGCAATTAGAAGTGAAAAATGTGAAGTCACAGCAGTGTTGAAACCCAGAAGATAATAACTGTTTTGAAAAACTATATTCCAACAAATTAGCAAATTTTAAAGAAGTGGACAGATTCCTAAATATATACAAAC